CCAACTCAAAAAAAAAAAAAAAAAAAGAGTTAAAATTAAAAAAAGAAAATGATATGACATTTAAATCTCAGTATCCATAACTAAAGTTGTATTAGAACACAGCCACACTGACTTTTTAAAAAAAACATATTATCTGTGGTTTTTTGCAGCAGAGGCTGCATGGCCCACAAAGCCTAAAACGTGTACTGTCTGGTACTCAAAAGAAAATGCTGGTCCCCGCTGTGGAGTTTGCTAGGTGCTTTGCCCTTTACAAAGTGCTTTGCTGGTGGCACAGTTCACAGGACACTTTAAAGGTTACCAAGTGCTTTGCCGTTCACCAACATGTCTTGATTCACAGAGCACTTTACAAAGGGTGCCAAAAACATGATATACATTTTAAGAAAGGAAAAAAAACCGATTAAAATTGTAATACTCAATATATACTGATAACAAAAGGTGAATACAAGTCATGTTTGACTTCTGCAATTACAAGAGGTACTCAAAGCCATTACCATCAGCATCCAGACACTTCTGATTACTGCAAACTAAAAGTAATGCATAGAAACATGGCTTAAAATGTGCATACAAGCCGGGCTCGGTGGCTCAGCCTGTAATCCCGTGCCTTGGGAGGCTGAGGTGAGTGGATTGCCAGAGCCCGCAGGTTCGAGACCCGCCTGGGCAACTCGGTGAGACCTCATCTCTACAATAAATCAAAAAATCAGCCAGGCGTGGTAGCGCATGCCTGTAATTCCGGCTACTCGGAAGGCTGAGGCGGAAGGATCGCTGGAGCCCAGCAGGTCGAGGTTGCGGTGGCCGGGAGCGGCCATTGCACTCCAGTCTGGGCGACAGAGTGAGACTCCAACTCAAAAAAAAAAAGTGCATATATTAGTTAAACAGGGGTTTAGCTTTTCACCAGGGACATAAATTCATAGAGCAGTTTAGACTTTCCTAAGTGTTTTGCCACTTGCCAGGAGAGCCCCCTGTGAAGTTCACAAGGCACCTTGTGGCCTTCTAAGCTCACTGCCAGTTCCTGAGGACCCTGTGAGTGCTACACAGTTTGGAGTGTTGCTGTCTTGTACCTGTTCTTCCCTCTGTGCCCCATGGACCCCTGGCCGCTCCCACCTCAATGATGTGATCCCTTCCATCCTTTCCATGTAGTGCTTCCACTGCGCAGATGTCCAGTCCCCCAAAAATCTCCGAGCATGTGTCCACCCACAGCTTGTACCTGTCAGGATGAGGGGCGGGGATGGGACTGTCAGTGCCTTGCAGGGCTGGCTGCGCTCCCACGCTCCCTTCTCCCACCCTGAGGTTGGGTCACCTACCTGTCGGACATGGCAATCTGCTCAAGCATGGCAGAGCCGGTGTTGGTCTTCCAGTTCCCCGACACTGACGTCCTCCTGGGGGACAAGGGAGCAGAGGCTAAGGGGGGCCTGGACTGCATGGGCCAGGGTGGAGGACCCCTCCCTGGACCTCGCTGTCTTCACTCACATATAGGCCTTGTAGTTTTGCCCAATCTTCTGGACACGCACATCATATTTGGCGTCGATGAAGGGCTCAGCAGTGGCATATGTCTTTGTCAGTGCCACGACACTTGCGATGTCTTGGAAGTCGTGCTGGTTGTCTACCTTGACCTGTGGGCATGGGGGTGGGGATCAGGGCCTGGTCAGGATGGGGCAGCAGTGGGAAGTAGGGTTTCCTGGGGGGCATGTACACATGACACAGGTGAGGTAAACACACAAAATTAGGTGGACCTGCCAACACGTGACCGTGGATCTCCTGTTTTGTACGTGTACACACAGACACAAAGTTGGGTGTATACAACTCTGAGCATACTAAAAATCACTGAAATGTCTGCTTTCAGTGAGCGAGTTGTATGGTGTGTGGATCACATCTCAATAAAGCTATGGAAAAACTGCGTGTATATACATTATATGCATATGATCACCCAGACAAAGCCAGTTATCCACACGGTATGTCAACATGCAGAAGCTTGGGTGCTCTCAAACAGATGATTCTTTGTACATACAGATAAAACCAGATATGTGGAAAGCATGCAAGAGCCCAGGACCCTGGAACATGAAAGATCACATCATGTGTGTTCAACCCAGAGGCATGCATGTACAAACAGACACATTGCTGAAAAAAATAACAGGATACACAAAATTGGCTGGATGCACAACAGAAAAATGGGGTGATTAAATCAGCTGAATGTGCGAAAACAAAAGTCCAGATAAAGAAAGACACCCCAGGACACATAGCCATACAGAATTACTGGTGTGCACCGCTCACCTGCACATGTACCTATGTCCAGGACCAGGAGCATGCACTGTACAAACACAGGTGTGCACACATACACCCCGGGAGACTCACCTTACCCATCCCAGAGTGCGCATGCCCCATCTTCACCACCACCGGGTATGTCGTGCTGCTGAGCTGGTGGGGGGCGAAGGCAAGAGGAAGCACGGTCAGGGCAGGAGGACTGCCAGGGGTGGGGGTGGTACTCAAGGACCCCATCCAGTGGGAGCCACATTAGGAGTCATTTCCCAGGAGTGGCAGGGCAGAGATAAGCCGACCGGCAGCTGGGGGTCACACAATGCCTCCTACGAGAGCCCAGAATTAAACCCAGAGCCCTGCCTGCCTGTCCCTCCTTCCACTCTGGCAAGAGCCAGACTTCCCGTCCCTGCTTTCTCAGGCAGAGGCCTCAGATGAGGGTGGGGGACTTTTCCAGTAAAGACCAAGTTTGTTTTTTACAGTGAATGGATGATAATGAGGTGAGTGTGTGAATGGGGGTGTGGTGGTGAGCATGTAGCAACGGGACCCCCAGCCAAGTCTCATATGTAAGCCTCATCCACACACATAATAACTTAGTTACACTCGAGTCCTCGGAACTCAGATCTATACCGCCAAACCCAGAGGTGCCCATGCGTGTTGAGACCGGCAGCAGCGTGGGCTCTAAGCATACCTGGCTTGGGGGCTGCCTGGAGACCCCCAGTTACTCAACCAGCCAGGTGCTCATAGCTGGGATGGCAGCCAGCACACACTCAACACTCAGACACATAGTCTCAATACTCTGGGACACACACACAGGCTCCCTCCCCTCGCCCAAACCCATATAACTGTCAGGGGGACACACATAACACAAAAGATTGCCCATGCAATACAGAGGTGCACACAACTCTACAGGCACACACAACAGAAGTGGACATAGACTAACACTCCTAGGTTCATGCACAACACAGAAGGACCTACATAACACACAGAGGGACTTCTGGGTGTTCAGTGCCAAGACCCATAAAGACCCACACCACAGTCCCAAGCACACAAAAAACTATATTTACACACACATACAATGCCTTGCCATATATACAATACAGAGGGATACACTCAACAAGAGATGCCCACAACTCTCCTAAGTATGCAGACAACATACTTGAAAGAAACCCCCAAAACACACACACACTCACACTCACTCACACTCAGGCAAGAAGGATGCTTCAAGTCTTCCTAGAGCGTAGGCGGGGCAGAAGGAACCGGGTTGGGCGACCCCAGTGGCCCCAGAGCTCAGTTGCACACACAGGGCCCTCTGGCCGCCCCCCTCCCGCTGACAAGGTAGAGCGGTGGCATTCCCGGAGGGGCTGCCAGGGCGGCGGTGGTTCCCAGTTCCCGACAGGCACAGGAAGCCCGCAGACTCAGGGTGACCGATTGACCTGCAGGCCTTGCCCTCCCTCTGTACCCACCCCCTTCCTCATTTCCCAAATGACTGGCGTCATCACGTGGGGGCTGAGAGGCACAGTGTTGGGATAGGGGGTTCGGGGATGCCCGGGCAGCTGCCCTGCATGCGCATGGCACCCGGAGGTGAAGGACACACTCGTGGTTACGTATGCGACGCAGACCCGCTTCCCGAGGCAGATACACAACTCCCAGAAGCAACACAACAAACACACAGGCACAAGCTGACTCTCAGGAACACACCAGAGAGCTGTGCATACACGTGCATGAATCCCCCATCCCTGAGGTTTCTAGGTCCCTCTTTTCATTAACTATCCTTTTTTTCTCTAGACCTGAGCCTGAATACAACGTTGTGTATACATATAAGTGTGTCGCTGCATATGTGTGCGGGCAGGGAGCTCTGGACTCTGGCTCTAGGATCCCCCGGAGAGCTTTAGGTTTGAAAATTAGCTTCTCTTCTTCCTAAGGCCATGTGGAATCCCCAGGCAGGTCACTTAACTCCTCTCTGGGCCTCAGTTTCTTGATCTGTACAAAGGGTACCTGGTGTGTAATGGGCATCATTAAGTATCTGCTCTGGACATGCCAGCTGGACCCACCGGCCCCCACCCCTATTCTGCTCCCCAGATGGTCCCACCGGCCCACCCCCCATTCTGCTCCCCAGATGGTCACATACTTGACACCCCTCCATAAACTCCCCCCATGCCCGTTTCAAACCTGCACAACAACCCAGATCCACACAACTCCTCACATGTAAACAGTTGGCAAAACTCTGTGCTGACGCTGGTTTCAGAGTGAAAGAGCTGGCGTCAGAACCAGGGTCAACGAGGGGCTGAGGCAGGACTTTCCCTGCCCTTGTTTCTCCCCGTCGAGACACTGGTTACTCAGCCCCCTGTCTCATTCACTCTCACTGGCCACTTTCACAATCAGCTGCTACACATTTCTGGTTGACTTCCCTTCCTCCCTTTTTTTGCCCCCACAACAGAGTAATTTCTTCATCTCATTCTTGGGCAGGTCACTCGAACCCTTTGTGTCTATGTTTCCTCATCTGTGTAATGAGAATCTGAGCTATATTTAACTAACAGGGATGTTGCGAGGAATAAGTGAGTTCTTTCGGGAAAAATGATTAACACAGTATCTGGCAAACAGTAAGTCTCAATTCTCAACAAGTGTTGGATATTATTATTATTATTATTAATAGTAGTAGTAGTAGTAGTAGTGTTGGGGTCCCACTCTGTTGCCCAGATTGGACTGCAGTGGCACGATCATGGCTCACCGCAGACTTGGCCTCCTGCCTCTGCCTCCCGAGTAGCTGGGACTATAGGTGTGCACCACCGTGCCTGGCTAATTTTTAATTTTTTTCTAGAGATAAGGTCTCACTATGTTGCCCAGGCTGGTCTCAAACTCCTGGGTTCAAGCAATCCTCTCGTCTCGGCCTCCCAAAGTGCTGGGATTATAGGCGTGAGCCACTGTGTCCGGCCCTATTATTATTGCTTTACCCTCCCTTCATTAAACATTAGTGAACAAAGGTGTTTGGATTGATTGAAAGAGATGACGTATGTACAAGGACTTCAACATGGTGCTTGGGATGCAAACACACATTCCATAGCGCTGCTGGTTGCTTTTGTTGTATTGTTATTGTTATTGAGCTAACCTCCCAGAGCTAATCAAGCTTCATTCACAAGGGGGTATGGAGAGTGAATGAGACCATTTATACAAAGACTTTAGCACACATCACACAGTAAGTGCTCAATAAGTGGTGGCCGTCATCCCTGTCATCATTATTGGTCTATCCTCCCCAAGTTAACAAAGCATGCTCATTAGAACCCCAGGGAGGATTCCCAAATCATCAGGAATCTGGTGGGCAAGGATTGCCTCACCCCACCCCCTGCTAGGGGCGTGGTATGGCTGGTGGGGAAGGGGCAGGGCAGGATGAGGTGGAGATCGGTTTTCTACTGACTCACTTGTTTCTTTAACCCTCACTCATCCCACTCCCAATGCTCATTAATTCATCCACACCATTCCCTGCTTGCTAGGGCTGTGCCATGCCTGGCTTACCATCCTGGCACCAGTTAGCCTGGATTCAAATCCCAGCAATGCCCCGTGATCCTGGGAAAGTTCTTTAGTCCCTCCTTGTCTCATATTTCCTCATCTGTAAAATGGGAACAATACCCGTACCCACCTCAGATGCTTGTTGTGAGCTTTAAGTGAGATAAATCATGCTGAATGCCTGGTACACAGTCAGTGCTATACAAATGTTGGCTATTTGCCTATGTTTTGAGAAAGGTTAAGACCGAGGCTCTGGCCCCAGGCCACCTGAGTTCCAGTCTCAGTTCTGCCACACCTATTAACTCTGTGATCTTACATAAGTCAGTCAACTCCCTGTGCCTCAGTTTCCCCTCCTTGTATTCCTCCCCATTCACCTACCTTATCTCCCTCCACTGTTTCTATCTAATTTGTTCCTCTCTGCCACCCTCATCGGACTGTCAGACATAAATCAAGAAAGGGATTTTTGTGTGCTTAGCACACAGTAAATGCACAATAAATGTTGAAGGAAGAAACGACTTTGAGCTTCAGCATGGGGACTTTGGGGGATGTGGGTGGGTGATTAGATCGACTTTAGGGGCCTGGGGGTGATCTTGCCTATAAACTCCATTGAGGCCGCTGAGAAGGAACGGTGCCCGACGTGGAGATGGGGGAGGGGGCTGGCCAGGGCGAGGCTGGGGGAGGGAGAGGAGGAGGGTGTATATCCTTTTGGAGCCTTGGGCCCGCCCCTTGGCTTCTGCGCTGATGGTGGGCGGATGAGTAATGCATCCAGGAAGCCTGGAGGCCTGTGGTTTCCGCACGACTGCCACCCCCGCCCCTCGCGTGGACATTTATCCTCTAGCGCTCAGGCCCTGCCGCCATCGCCGCAGATCCAGCGCCCAGAGACACCAGAGGTAAGCAGGGCCGGAGGTGGCGCGGCAGGGCCCGGGCTGGGCTGAGTTTGTGTGCTAGCCACCAGGCCTGTCCCTTCCCGGGTCAGATGCCTGTCTGCTCAGCCTGGCCTGCGGGTACCAGGACTCTGGGCTGGCCAAGGGGGAAGAGGTCCAGGGGCTGGAACCGCTTTCCCCAACCGGACACTCCAAACTTCCTAGAACCCCTGACATCCATCCCCAACTTCCTAAAACCCACGATCCCCTAATACCACAAATGCCTCCCAACTCTCCCAGATTCCCTCATTGCCCCCTAAATCCCTACCCCAAATCCCTGCAGCTCCCTAAACTCCCCCAGCTCCCAAATCCCTGAAACTCCTCGATCTCCAACTCCCTAAACCTCAAAACGTCCTCTGTCCTTAAATCCTTCAAGTACCACCATTGCCTTAAGCCCCCGGATTCCACCAGCTCCCTAAACCCCCAAACTTCCCTAGCTCCCTAAGTCCCCATCTTCCTCCAAATTTCTCAACCTCCCTAATGGTCCCAGCCCCCTATTTCTCTTAATATACACAACTTCTAAACTTCCGACCTCCCCCAAACTCCTCCCGCCACCTCATCCCCAAATTCCTCACCCTCAAACTCCTCAACCTCCAGACTGACCCAAACCCCTTAAATCCTCCAACTTCCCTGGCCCTCTTATTCCCCAAACGCCCCAACCCCACAATCCCCCAACTCACTCAGCCCTCAACCACTTAAACTTCACAAACTCCTAAACTCCGCTGGGCTTTCCAGATCCCTTAAAGCCCCCAAACTTCCCAACTCCTCAAGCCCAAATCCAGTCCCCTAATCCCACCCCACAGGTTTCCCTGGGGCAGGATGGGGTGGGTGGCCTGTCCAGGTCAGCACCTTAGCTGGACTGGGGGCACCTGACACCGCCTCTCCCCCACAGAACCCACCATGGCTCCCTTCACGCCCCTGGCCTCTGGCATCCTGTTGTTGCTGTGGCTGGTAGCCCCCAGCAGGGCCTGCACCTGTGCCCCACCCCACCCACAGACAGCCTTCTGCAGCTCCAGCCTCGGTGAGTCTACCCTACCACTGACCCCTGTCCAGCCCGAGCACTCTGCTTTGGTTTCTCACTCACAATGGCACACACTTCTAGAATGATTCCACTCAGCCCTGCACTTGCTCTGCGGTAACCACACTGACACACAAACTTTCTTGAATACACCAGGCCCAAGCCCACCATAGGGCCCTTGTGCTGGCTGCTCCCTCTGCCTGGTACCCTTCCTCCAGGTATCCATATGGGTGGCTGTCTCGAACATCACCTTCTCAGGATGGCTTTTCCTGATCACCCTGTTTACATTTTTTTTTGAGTTGGGGTCTCACTCTGTTGCCCAGGCTGGAGTGCAGTGGCATGATCACGGCTCACCACTGCCTCCACCTCCTGGACTCAGGTGATCCTTCTGCCTCAGCCTCCCAAGTAGCTGGAACTACAGGTATGCGTCACCACCTCTGGCTAATTTTTAATTTTTTTTTGTAGAGACAAGGTCTTGCCATGTTGCCCAGGCTGGTCTTGATCGGCCTCCCATGAGCCACCATGACTGGCTGGCCAACCCTGTTTAAAATTTTAACCCCTGCACCTTAGTACTCCTGATCCTGGCTAAATAGAAAATTATTCAATGATATGTGTTAAAGCATGGGAATGCAGACATTATTTAGGACCATCACAATAGGTATAGGGACCATTTCAATGGGGCTTTGCGGTATGGGCAAGGGATTGGACTCAACTCTGAATACAGCATGGACCGGTGGGAATCCATAGTCAAGGAGCAAGGTAGGTTAGTGGATGAGAAGTTACTAAGAGGAAGAATCAGGGGTAAGGGGGATTCTGGCTAAACTTACATAACAGGAAGACAAGCCAGAGGGATCATGTGTCAACTGGGGGATGGTGGGGATGAGAAAGCTGATTGGATAGTGAGGATGATTAGAGATTGGGGGATGGTGGTGGGGGGGGCTTTTTGCCAAACTGACTTAGCAGGGTTCTTTGCTAAATCTGAATTTTACAAAGAAGAGCACAGTGGGTCTAGGAAAAAAGTCAGGAGCCTAACTAAAATTTGGTGAAGCAAGAAATCTTTGTCACTCTCTTACCCAGCTCTGTAATTCCCCGTTACACTTAATATCTTCTATGAATCCATACACTTACTTATTTTGTTTCTAGTCTGTGTCCTCCCAGCTAGACTGTGAGTTCCACACAGGGGGGAATTCTGTGTTCTTATTCACTGTGGTGTCCCCTAACACCCAGAACAGTGCCTGGCACACAGTGGGCACTCAAAAATACATGAAAAAGGCTTAAAGCAGTACCTGACAAAGAGTAGACACACGATATGTACATGAACCCACTAACATGTGTGTGAATGGCTTAGTGTGCTGTCTAGTGCCCGGTAACCCCTATTGATGGATATGCTTTGCCAGTATTGTGATGATTCTTTTATTTTTATTGGCTCATATAGCCCATTTGACTCATTTTCTCTTCCTTACCTGCAGTCATCAGGGCCAAGTTCGTGGGGCCCCCAGAAGTCAACCAGAACACCTCACACAAGCGTTATGAGATCAAGATGACCAAGGTATCCTCCTCCCTCCCACCCCGCCTCTTCCCCAGCACTTCCTAACATCTTCCTCATCAAAATAGAAGCCTCTGGCCACCGGTTGGCGAGGAAGTTGGCTGCGCTCTCGGGATGCTCTGTGACTTCAGGGAAGAGGTGGAGTGGGAGGATTATGTCAGTAAAGAGACACTTTCCCTCATCCATCAACAGATGTACAAAGGCTTCCAGGCCTTGGGGGATGCCACTGACATCCGGTATGTCTACACCCCCGCCATGGAGAGCCTCTGCGGATACTTCCACAGGTCCCAGAACCGCAGCGAGGAGTTTCTCATCGCTGGTGAGGCACCGTCCCCGCCCTATGCCACGCCAGCCCATCCTTTGGGCGCGGCCTGGAACCGTCTGAGGGCGGGGTTCTGATGGGAACGGTCCCAGTTGAAATGGGGACCACCCCAGTTTCCGCCCATCAGAAGGCTGGGGTCTTTGCTCAATGGGGTCTGCCCGCCAAGGACGCCAATCAGGCGCCGCGCTGCCCGCGGCCCAGCCAATCAGAAGTCGCTTGTTGCCCCCCCCCCCTTCCTCCCAGGAAAACTACGGGACGGGCTCCTGCACATCAACACCTGCAGTTTCGTGGCTCCCTGGAACGGTCTGAGCTCCTCTCAGCGCCGGGGCTTCACCAAGACCTACTCTGCTGGCTGTGGGGAATGCACAGTGAGTGCCTGGGCCCTGCTTTCCACCTGGAGATCGTTCCTGGGACTCCTTCCCAAACCGTGGGCTTGTTTCTGGCTATTCCGCTTCCCCGCGGCTGCTCCTCAGACCCTAGAGGCTGTCCTTGAGCTTTTTGGCTATCACCCCAAACCTGAGACTGCTCCCTTAGAAATTCTGATTGTTCTCTTGCCCTGTGTCTTATACCTTGGGATTGTCTGTCCTCTGGACCTTCTGGCTGTTCCCTCTAACTCTTCCTTGTGATTATTCTGTAATCCCACTGCCTGTTACTGAGTCCCTGGGATTGTTTCTTGCTTCCCTAGAATTTTCTCCAAGAAATCACAGTGCTGTTCCCCAAACCCACTGACTCTTCCCCAGCACATCTGATTGCTGATCTGAGCTATGACTGTTCCAGACACCAGGGCAAGACTGTTCCTCGATGGCCCTGAATGTCCTCTGACCCCAATGACTATCTCAGAGCCTTACTGGCTATTCTTATGCTTAACCTCCACACCGCCAGCCATTCCCTACTCCTGCCAGTTGTTCCCTGTCCTATGGGGTCTCCCCAGGAGACCTGCCTCACTGACACCCAGGGACTATTTCCCAGCCACCATTCTAGGACACTGGTTCACTGGCTTACTGTCACCCCGCAGAGCCCAATGACTGTTCTCCCAATGGGAGGGGCTGTTCCTGGGTGTGTACTCAGGTGGGGTGACACCAGATATCCCCAGAAGCTCAATGTTGAAAACAGGAAGGGAAGTTCTGCTCCATAGGGGAGGTAGGGGGAGGAGGAGAAGCCCTCAGATGTGTGTCCCTCCTCCCAGGTGTTTCCCTGTTCCTCCATTCCCTGCAAATTGGAGAGTGACACTCACTGCTTGTGGACAGACCAGCTCCTCCAAGGCTCTGAGAAGGGCTTTCAGAGTCGCCACCTTGCCTGCCTGCCACGGGAGCCAGGAATGTGCACCTGGCAGTCCCTGCGGTCCCGGACGGCCTGAATCCCGCTCCCAGTGGAAACTGAAGCCTGGACAGTGCCCACCCCCTTCCTACTCCCATCTTTCTCCCAGACAATGAAATAAAGAACTACTACCCAGCAGACACTGTCTCTGTGTCGTGCCGGCGAACATACTCATGTCACTGATGACCTGGTGGGAGCACCCTGGGACCAGTGCTGAGGGGGCGAGGGATGCCAGGTGCTGAGTTTTGATATTTTACTTAAAAGTTGATGTACTGGTGATAATTATTAGCATTGGCATCAGCACTGGTGATCTTGCAACACTAGTGACAGTCACCAAACCTGCATTACCAACTACAGCTTAGTCAATACTTTAAAATGTTTTTCTAACCGGGCTCGGTGGCTCAGCCTGTAATCCCAGCACTTTGGGAGGCTGAGGTGAGTGAATTGCCTGAGCCCGCAGGTTCGAGATCCGCTGGGCAACTTGGTAAGACCTCATCTCAACAATAAAATCAAAAATTAGCCGGCCGTGGTAGCGTGTGCCTGTAGTTCCTGCTACTTGGAAGGCTGAGGTGGAAGGATTGCTGGAGCCCAGTAGATCAAGGCTCCCGGCCACTGCACTCCAGTCTGGGCGACAGAGTGACTCCAACTCAAAAAAAATAAAAATAAAAAATAAATAAATAAATAAATAAAACGTTTTTCTAGATTGATTTATAATTACTATATGCCTATCCACAGTTGGGTGTGGTGGCTCACATCTGTAATTGCAGCACTTTGGGAGGCTAAGGTGGGAGGATTGCTTGAGTCCAGGAGTTTGAAACCAGCCTGTGCAACATAGTGAGACCTTGTCTCAACAAAAAAATATTTAAAAAAATTAGCTGGGCATGGTGGTATGTGCCTGTAGTCTCAGCTACTCAGGAAGCTGAGGCAGAAGGATTGCCTGAGCCTAGGAGGTTGAGGCTGTGGTAAACCATGATCATGCCACTGTACTCTAGCCTTAGTGACAGAGTAAAACCTCGACTTGATAAATAAATAAATACATAATCAATCCACAGCTGACAAATCACTGCCTTATTGGAAATACCCCATTCAAAAATCTTGCCAGTTGACAAACTCATTGACAAATGCCTTATCCACTGGCCAGTGGCTCTCATTGCCTCAAGCACTGTCCTGATGTCCAGTGAGGGTACCCCATCAAAACCTGTGGGTGCTACTGTCCCCATCCTTAGGTTTTGTACCATGAATCTGACTTGACTGAAAGTGGAAACCTCCAGGGCACCCAGAGTCCCCCAGTGTCCCAGCAAGAAACCCCAGAAGAAGAGGTAGCCCTGGCTCCCTATCTGTGGCCTGCAGGAGATTCCTTGGAAGGGGCTTTTTGAGACATAGGAGAGGTGGGATGGGGAGAAGGTCTGCCCAGTTTACACTCCCCTCCCACTCCTCCTCTCACTGCTCTGACCAACTCTGTAGGAAATATTGACAAAAGTGAAATGCAGGTGGGATTCAAAATCAAAACCAGCCAGTTATGCCATACCCATCACACACTTTCCCAAACTGGGGTCTGTAGGCTTGACTCTTACCTTTCTGGGTCATTTTTCTCCATAAAACCTGAGTGACAGACCCTCCAAATACTCTTCCTAAGTATTTTTGCTCCCACCACTGGACCCAGACCCTGGTTTCTGCCCCTTACACTTCAAAGGTTCTGACTCAAGCTGAGTCCCCTGGGAATCAGAATTTCAAACTGGAACAAACATTCAATGAAGCACCCAAGTATCCCGCTGATCTGTCTACTTGAAATGGGCCCTAGGCCGGGCTCGGTGGCTCAGCCTGTAATCCTAGCACTTTGGGAGGCCGAGGCAAGTGGATTGCCTGAGCCCACGGGTTCGAGACCTGCCTGGGCAACTTGGCGAGACCTCATCTCTACAATAAATAAAAATCTAACCGGGCGTGGCAGCACACGCCTGTAGTTCCAGCTACTTGGAAGGATGAGGTGGAAGGATCGCTGGAGCCCAGCAGGTTGATGCTGGGGTAGCTGTGAGCATGCCACTGCACTCCAGCCTGGGCCACGTAGTGACTCCAACTCAAAAAAAAGAAAAAAAAAAGAAAAAAGAAAAAGAAAGAAAGAAAAGAAAAGGACCCCAGTATATCTTTCCCAAATTCTGTCTCATCACACCACTCACTTGCTCCTACCAACAAGAACTCAGGTCTCTTCCATGGCATGATCGCCAAGCATAGCCCCCTGAACCCTCTATGATTCTGTCTCAGAGCCTTCTGCACTCCTGGGAGGTGCCCTTAGGGCCAAAATCATGTCCCAGATGGGAATGGGCAGATTTTGAAAACCCACATCTTGGCCACCCGAGCAGGGGATGTGCACTGGAGCAAATGTCTACATCACCATCTACACCTCGGCTACAGGCTCAGACCCATCTGGGAGGGTCTGATCCCTGTCTGCCAAAAGGGGCAAATGGCAGCCTTTGTTGATGGGCACAACTGGAAAAGGAAGTGACCAGGCCCTGGTTTGGCTCTGGTGACCTTGTCACGATTCTCTCAGCTGCCTATGCAAGCTTGGCAGCTCCTAGCAATTTACCAAACCCTAGTGTCAGCTTCCTGCACCCTTAGGCTGATCCCTGACCCCGGGGCCCATTCACTGAGCCCTCAGCTATTCTAGCCCCTGGGAGAAAAGTAAAGTAGTAGGTGGCAGGGGGAGGATGGAACCCACTGTGGAGGCCGTTCTCCTGCCCACATGTCTATCCTGCAGGTGGGCCCTATACCAAAGCCCGATACAGCATGGACAGGGTTGACCAGTATATCAGGGTACACAGAGTTCGGAACAGCAGACAAGGCTACCTCCCTCAGAGACCTGGCATAAGCTCCTGGAAGGATCTTTAGCCCTGGGCTCATCACATCCCTCATCATTCTTCTCGAAAAACCCATTGAAATGAGCACAGTGAGTGCCCCCACCCGCAGCATACTATAATTTAATGTATACCTTTAATAGTGATCAATAGTGCGAATCTCTGTTTGAGAGTGACTCTGTAACAGCTGAGAGCAAACACATAAGGGTCACAGCTGTGTGTGGCATGCAGCATGGCATTCAGCTCAGTTGTGACCTGGGGACCAGCCCTTCCTTCAGCCGAACCTCAGTCTTTCTCCTAAAAATTAGGCATCACAGTCCCTACCCAGAATCCTTCAGAAGTCTGTGCTAGGTCTGAAGGATGACTACGGGTTATCTTTGCTTCATGGGTATTTTTTAGGTCAAAACACTAAACTTAATGTGTAATATTACTAATGATGACTTTATTTATTTATTTATTTATTTTTGAGTTGGAGTCTCACTCTGTCGCCCAGACTGGAGTGCAGTGGCCGCTCTCGGCCACCTCAGCCTCGACCTGCTGGGCTCCAGCGATCCTTCCACCTCAGCCTTCCAAGTAGCCAGAATTATAGGCATGCGCTACCACGCCCGGCTGATTTTTTAAAATTTTATTTATTGTAGAGATGAGGTCTCGCCAAGTTGCCCAGGTGGGTCACGAACCCGCGGGCTCAGGCAATTCACTCACCTCAGCCTCCCAAAGGCTGGGATTACAGGCTGAGCCACCGAGCCTGGCTGATGACTTAATTTATAGTCAGGCAGTGCAGTATGGTAGTTAAGAGCATGAACCCTGGAGCTAGGTCATCTACTTTCAAACCCTGCCCCTTTCACGTTCTAGCTGTGTCTCTGGGGAAATCATATGATCTCTCTGAGCCTCAGTTCCCACATTGGTAAAATAGGGTTAAGGAGAATGCCCAACTCATCAGGACAGTGTATATATTAAATAAGGTCGTATATGTGAAGTGCGAACAGTGCTAGACACACAGCACTGATAAGTATTAGTAGTAGTAGCTGTGGTAACTATAATTTAATGTATACCTTTAATAGTGATCATTTTTACCAGTACTATTATTTACAATGTTGCAAATCATGTTTGACATTAGGAATAATAAGACACAATATTGGAAATAATGTATAAGATTAGTAGCAATAATTTAATGCCTACATCTCCTCCACACCTGTCTCCTCACCAAAATACAAGCCTCTGTGCCACTGCCAAGGTGGAAGGATCACTTGAGCCCATTAGTTTGAGACCAGCCTGGGCAAACATAGTGAGACTATGTCTCTACACAAAATTAAAAAATCGCCGGGCTTGGTGGCTCAGCCTGTAATCCCGCACTTTGGGAGGCCGAGGTGAGTGAATTGCCTGAGCCCGCGGGTTCAAGACCCGCCTGGGCAACTTGGCGAGACCTCATCTCTACAATAAATCAAAAATTAGCCAGGCGTGGTAGCATGCGCCTGTAGTTCCAGCTACTTGGAAGGCTGATGTGGAAGGATCACTGGAGCCCAGCAGTTCGAGGCTGTGGTGGCTGGGAGTGTGCCATTGCACTCCAGTCTTGGTGACAGAGTGAGACTCTAACTCAAAAAAAAAAAAAAAAAGAATACACAAAATAAAAAAATCAGCCAGGTGTGGTGGTGTGCATCTGTAGTCCCAACTACTCAAGTGGCTGAGGTGGAAGGATCACCTGAGCCCAGGGGGTTGATGCTGCACTCCAGCCTGGGCAACAGAGTGAGACTCAAAATAAATTTTTTTTTTTTAGAGAAAAGGTCTTGCTATGTTGCCCATGCTGGTTTCAAACTCCTGGCCTCAAGGGATCCTCCCACCTGGTCCTCCCAAAGTGCTGGAATTACAGGTGTAGGCCACCACGTCTGGCCTGCGTGTTCCCTACTCTCAATCCCCATTCCAGCCCTCTGTTTCCCATTCTTTGCTGTTCCCTTTCCATCCGTGATACCTTTACTGTTCCCTGCATAGTCTCACTGTTCCCTGGTCCCCACTGCCCTTCTTTTCTATGAGAAGCACGTGAAGTAGCATGGTGCTTCAACCACCTCCAGGGGCGTCCTCACCTCCCTACCTCCCCTGCAAAGCTGCTTACCTGAATCCCAAGCTTGCACAATGTCTGTAGGGACATGTGCATCTCTGAGCACTGGCAAGAAAGACATGAAGCCATAAACCTGGCTGCCTTCCCTGGTGGCTGCTACTGAATCCTCACGTGCAACAGCCTTGGATCCAGACTTCTACTCAGCCACAGTGAACTGGGGACTCTCCACCTTCCTC